TATGTAAACTTTCAGCTCCCTGTTATTAAATAGTTCAAAATCTGTTGGTTTTAATGAAAAATAATTATTGTTGAATTTAAAGAAAAAAAAAAAAAAATGTTATGTGCCTAGAATGGATGAAAAAGAATCTGGCTCGAGAAAGCGTTGATGATATATTGTACAATCCATACATAATCAGTGACTTAAAGATTAACACTCTTACAGCGTATAACAATAGTAGAAGCAAGCCAAGCATTGAAAGAGTGCAGCGCATCTGAACATGAAATACGATTTACCTCAACTGTATCGCTACCACCAGCATGTAGTATGGATGTACTGTACAAGACACTGAAACAGTAAGTAACCTTCAAAGTTTATCAACTCAGGTATGCTGTGTACCAGTGTCTTTAAAGAGAGGGAGTCGTCACCTGCACATGCAACAGATCCTCTCTCATGGTTGTTCATTTCGTGATGATATCTTTAATTCTCTAATTTTCATGAATATTTTTGTCATTTTTGGTAAAAAGTGATATTTTCGACTTCTTGTTAAAAACTGCAGGTCTAATTGCTTTGATATTATATATACATGTAATACATAGTTACTACAGGTAGACCTCTCTCAGATTTGTTCATTTCGTGATGATTTTGTTCTTCAATTATCTAATTTTAATGAATATTTTTGATGAAAAGTTATATTTACAAATTTTTGTTGAAAACAGCAAGTCTGATTGCTTTAATACTATACATATTGTTCATTTTCTGATGATATCTTCAGTTCTTTAATTGAAATGTGCATTGATAACAGCGGAGCTATCTCAGCCGATAGGCTGCTAGTTTCCACTTGCAATAGTAATTGTAAGATTCATGGCATTGATAGAATCTTTGCTATTAGATAGATTACAGTTTCACATAATCTGACTACATGTACATTACATTACATTGTTAGGCGTTTCTCTGGTCACAATGTACAACACGCATCAGATGGATCCTTACAGGTTGATTCTGTACTAGTTAAGGTAAGACATTAATTTACGTCATTGACATCAAATAGGACTAAGCAATCACTTGCAATTGAGGGTACTGTAGAATACTTTATTTTCGCTTGGAGTAAATTTTCGTTATTTTCGCTGAAGGAATGATTCAGGGAAAATAAAATCCAGCGAATATACTGTTGTTCCTATATTTTACATTCAACTCATCAAAATACAGTAAAAATACATTCCATACAAAACACCCAAAAAGTCTATTCAGCAAAAATTAATTCCAGCTAACAGTAGTTCCTGTTCAGTCAAAAGTTTTAATTACAACAGACAGAACACCAGGGAGAGGGGGATTGTGCTGTTAAATAAAACCTTGGAAAATAATTTTGATTTCTGTGATTATAACACACAGATTTCAGGTGAGTCAGATGAAGGTACAGATATGCTGGTTTCCTGGCCATATCAGGTGAGATACGCATGTTCCCTGGCTAAATTAAATGCTGCATTTCAACAGTGTTTAGGGTATTAGAAAAAGATGTAGATATGGTCGAGCATTGACAAGTTCTGTGAAAAGTTCATGCACATGAGTGTCATTTATAATGGAGCTTTGTAAAAAGCATGTAAATCTGCTAAATCTGTGACATCCAAATTTCTGTTTTAATTTGTTTTAAAGCACTTTTTGTCATGCCACATGGCTGTGGTTATATTTATGTTGTGAATAATAATTTTTTTGAAATCGTTTTTGATATAATGTTCTGTGCTAATAAGATTTCCATGCCACGTCTTCTTTGAATCTTTTTTTGAATGCCACAAATTAATGAATAATCAGTTTTTTTTAAATGAACGGGGTACACGAATTAATAACAGTTTTTGCGGTAAGAATTATTTTTGACTCCCGTGTGCGAAGCACAAAAGGGAGTCTTTGCAGTTACCATGTCTGTATGTCTGTATGTCTGTATGTATGTATGTATGTATGTATGTCACTTTTTTTGTTCCACCGTTATCTCAAGAACCACTAATCAAATTTTCGTGAAACTTGGTACATAGATGCTCTGGGATGATGCGCAGAGTTGATTAGGTTTTGGTAAAAATCTATGAATATTAATTACCTAATTTTCATGATAATTAGCTGATTTTTAGCTGTTCCAAGACTGTTCCACTGATATCTGAAGAACCACTCATTGGATTTTGATGAAACTTGGCACATGGATGCTCTGAACTAGTGCGCAGATTTGATTAGTTTTGGGTAAAAATCTATGAATATTAATTACCTAATTTAAATGATAATTAACTGATTTCAAGCTGTTCCATGACTGTTCCACTGATATTTGAAGAACCACTCATTGGATTTTGATGAATCTTGGCACATGGATGCTCTGAACGAATACGCAGATTTGATTAGTTTTGGGTAAAAATCTATGAATATTAATTACCTAATTTGCATGATAATTAACTGATTTTAAGCTGTTTTATGACTGTTTCACTGATTTTTGAAGAACCACTCATTGGATTTCAATGAAACTTGGCACATGGATGCTCTGAACTAATGCGCAGATTTGATTATTTTTGGGTAAAAATCTGTTAATATTATTAATTACCTAATTTACATAATGATTACAGTCAAACCTGTGTTAACGGCCACCTGGATATAGCGGCCACCTGCCTATAGCGGTCACAACCGAACAGTCCCTACGAATTTTACATGTAAAGTACCCTGTTTACAGCGGCCACCTGCCTAACGCTGCCAACGGCCACGCTTCAGCGGCCGCAGTGATCAGTTGAACTGCATATAACGGACATAGTTACCGGATGTCTTGCGGACTACTGCCTTCCACCTCAGACAACGATTAAGCTCACAAAGGACAAAGTTAGCACGTTTTCACACCTTTCATTCACCGATGGCTTCGGCAATTATGTTTTATTCTTGTTTATAATTCAGTTTACCACG